GGACACTAGGAGTTTAGACTATAATCCCTACAATCTCCTACATAACCCTATATATAGTAGTTTCCATTTCATTTTCCATGTTCTTTTCCATTTGATTCTCCACGATTAAGGGGGACACTAGGAGTTTAGACTATAACCCCTATAACCTCCTACATAACCCTATATATAGTAGTTTCCATTTCATTTTCCATTTTCTCTTCCATTTGATTCTCCACTATTAAGGGGGATACTAGGAGTTTAGACTAAACTATGGCTCACATACTCGTAACTTTGAGCAGCTCTGCATGCGCAAGCTGTTGAATCTGACCTCCCCCTTCGGCAAAGAGTTGGCCGAAGTTGTTGCAAGTTTTTGTCTTTTTGACTGCCTGCAAGCCGGTAAAGGCCATATGGCCGAGCTTCGCCTCTTACGTAGCAAAAGCTTGGAGCAGCTGACGATGGGCCACGAATGCCTGCAAGACCTGCTCCCCTAGACCTTGGCGGATACACCTGCTCGGGACAAGGCCCTCGCACCGCCGTGTTGCAAGGGTTTCGGGTTTAAGGTCTCTCCTTTAATTTTGCATGCTGAGAACTACAGGACTTGACTTTCCCAATTTATAGAAATGGAATACCAAATCGAAAATTGCATGGAACATGAAATGGAAACTGGGATTCAAGGGTCCCCATCGGAAGGGTAAGAATAGTCGTCATGCTCGCTGTAGTCGTGGCAGAAAAAGTACTAGTCTTGGTAGTAGCGGTGGTGCTGGCAGCAGTAGAAGTAATGGTGGTACCAGCACTACTGGTAGCACCTCTTGTAAAAACAGTATCAGGAATAGCAATCAGAACTGTAATACCAATGTTCCGAAAGCCATTGCTGCGAGGGGCATCCTCATCTGCGGCTCGAAGAAACCGTGTGGAATGTGACCTGAAAAAGCATATAGGGTTTAGAGTTGAGGGGGCTCTCAAAGTGGTGAAGCCCTCAGAATAACAAACCTCGCATGTTGGACGGATCTGTTCAAACAGAAGTCGCTAGAGAGCTTTCAGGGATATATGGTGTCTCTGCGAGGAGTATAGGGGCTCCTTTAACGCGCATTTAGGGCTTATGATGAGAACTGCCAACTAAATCTACATAATAACACTTTGACCCTAAACCCCTACAGCCTGATTGACCCGGAGGCTGACGAGCATGATGGTAGCTAACATGCATGTCTTGAGGGACCCTGTTCTGAAAAACAAGCAAACAGGTTGGGTTCCCTGCCCAGGTAAACCACGCCCTTGGGCTCTTTTTCTTCCTCCTCTTCTTCCTGGTCGTCTGCCTGCACTTTTCGGCAGCTGACACGTTGACTACGTTTGCATGGCTTGGTGCAATCTACGCTGAAAACCATTAACTTAGGAAACACAACTACTTGTGCATGAACATGTATTGTCATTTCCAAGATAATACGGGAATGCTTCCTACGTATGAAGCCGTCTGAAAATGGTGGTGTCCTAAAGGAGCATAGAAGTATCAGAAGTATACAGGGACTATAAGGGTGCAATCAAAGGAGGAGCATGCTCGCTGTCATCTTTACATACTACTCAAACCCTAAACCCTAAGCCCTAAACTGCAAACAATGAACTCTAGACCCTCAACCCAAACCCCAGATCTTCAACTCCATGCCCTGGATCCACAAACCTCATAACGCTCCCAGCCCTCGATGCACAACCCTAAATGCTAGATCCTTATGATCCTCACCTCTGAATAAGCCCCAGTCCATGTGAGCTATAGTCTAAATTCCTTATATCCCGCTTAATAATCCCATAATATCCCACAAGACTCCCCTATAAAAAATCCCCTATACAAGCCCATGTAAGGAGTTTAGACTATAGCTCATGTGAGCTATAGTCTAAACTCCTAGTATCCCCCTTAATATCCCCTATAGCAGTCCCCTATATAATTCCCTATCTAATCCCCCTTTAAGGAGTTTAGA